ATATAATAGTTGTTGCCATGAAAAAAGCAAATAATTTAATTAATAAAGAGGAAAAAACGACAGAAGCCAAAAGGAGAGAAGCACAAAGAATTTTAGCCTCAATTAATCGGCTTGCCTCAATAATGGAAGAAAGAAAAAAATTTACTTGTAGCAAGTGTGGACAAGACAAAAAAATCATTTTGGCAGCCTTGGATAAAAGTTGGAGAGAAATTTGTTTGTGCTGGGATTGTGGCACCCCCAAGGTTTTAGAAAGTTTTTTGGGGAAAGAGGGCTTAGAAAAAATAATAAAAAGATGAGAAAGTAAATTAAAAAAACTAGAATTAAATCCTTTATCAATTGCTAAATATTTCTATGAAAAATGAAAAGTAAGTGATCCAGTTATCATGCAACGGCTAATCTATTTTGCTTATTTAGAGACATTAAAAAAAGAAAATATTATCCTATTTGAAGAAAAATTTCAAGCCTGACCAGGTGGGCCAGTCTTGGAGTCAGTTATTTATCCAATGTATGAGAATTGTGAGAATTTGGAAAATTTTTTCGCTAAAATAGAGAAAATAGAAGAATTAAATATTACTGTTCTTTCATATTTAAAAACCACGGCCAAAAAATACTTGAACTTGAAATTCTTCCCAAACTTATCGAGAAGCTTGTAATAAATTATGATCCGATGCCTTAAATGAGGAAAGTGATGTCAATCCTATTGATGAAAATAGACTTTTTGTCTTCGTTCAAGAAAGCCGAAGGCAACCCATTTCTCTTACTACTACTTACTAAACGATGCTTATTTCTTTTAAAAATTTAATCCGAGAATGTGTTTACAATGAAAAGAAAAATTTTCACAATCGTTTAAGTGAAGAGAAATTGAGAAAAATGTTTGCTTTAACTCATGACAAATTACAAGAATGAAGTATTAAACAATTTAGTCAAATTAAAGAGGAAAATAAGAAAAATTGTCGGAAATTGACTATCAAAGAAAAGTTGGAAAGGGTCGATGATTTTGCCAAAATAAAAAATTCCCAAAAAATCAAAAAGTTTATTTTGAGTAGTGAACTTTGGCAGTTGCCAATAACCGAA